CCTTCATCCAATTTTCTATCTTTACACAAATAAATCCGATTACCCAAAAAGAAACCAATTGAACTTTTGTTTGATATATTTACGAGTTAAAAACACTTGCCTTGGTCATTAGCAACCATTGCATCCAGAGAGGAAACATTTTCCAATTTCTTGATGCACAGTCCGTCTTGTGGAGGAAGCTCTTTCGCTGATGCAGATGTATCAAGATCAACAATAACAGAGTCTTCCTCCTTGAAATCTCCTCTCAGGACTCCCATTGCAATTTCATTCTCAACCAGTTGCTGAATCACCCTCTTAACCGGTCTAGCTCCAAAGTTTGGATCAAATCCCAATGTTGCCAGAAGCTCCATGGCTCCCTTTGTGTACTGAAGATATATTTTCTTTTGTTTGAGCCTGTCCCTTAATCGGTTCATCTGCCAACAGAGAATAACATGTTAAGATATAGTGACCATATATATACATGCATACACAGCATATACCAAGCATCATTTTGCTACATTTATGAGCGGCAATACATTCTATTATGGCAAATCAATCTGAACACAAGAACCTGTAATAACAAGCTCTAAAGAGGCCACTCATTTAACTATTGGTGAAAGCAAGTTCTGCAAAGATAAATTACCTGCAACTCAACAATTCTCCTTATTTCTTTAGAGTCCAAAGGCTGGAAAACAATATACTCGTCGATTCTATTCAAGAACTCGGGGCGAAATGTTTCCCTTGCTAAGTCAACAACTTGTCTTTTCATAATATCATAAACCACTTCCTTGCTGTCTTGTCTATTCCGAAGAGTCTCAAGTATATAATGGGAGCCAATATTTGAAGTCATTATCACAACAGTATTCGTAAAACTAACAGTCCGTCCTTGAGAATCAGTTATCCTTCCATCATCCAACAACTGTAACAATATGTTAAAGACATCATGATGTGCCTTTTCAATTTCATCAAAAAGTACCACTGAGTATGGCCTTCGTCGAACAACTTCAGTAAGCTGTCCACCTTCTTCATAACCTATATAGCCTGGTGGGGCACCTACCAAACGGGAAACTGCATGCTTCTCCATGTATTCGCTCATATCAATTCTGACCAAGGCCTTTTCTGTGTTAAATAGAAAGCCAGCTAAAGTTTTGGCAAGCTCAGTTTTACCAACACCAGTAGGACCCATGAACATAAAACTGGCTATTGGGCGATTTGGATCTGACAAACCTGCCCTTGACCGCCGGATTGCATCAGCCACTGATTTTACAGCCATATCCTGACCTATTATCCTTTTGTGAAGTTCTTGTTCCAAGAAGACCAGTTTCTCTCTCTCTGTCTGTTGAAGGTTTGACAAGGGTATGCCAGTCCATTTGTACGATTTCTACAATATCAAGATCTGTAACCTCTTCTCGAAGCAAAGAACTTCCAGATTCTCGAAACTCAGCAAGGTTCTTTTCAGCAACTTCTAACTTTCGCTGAATGGGACATTAGAGTTCCATATCTAAGCTCAGCTGCCCGATTCAGTCATATTCACGTTCAGCAGATTCCATTTCCAGATTAACCCTGTCAATCTGTAACATTGAAAAATAGCAATTAGTATATCATTAGACTGAAATTACTGACAGGATGAGCACTATAGACAGAA